GCTGTGGACAGGTGCCTCGCTGGCCCCCGGCCATGGTGAGTGTGACTGTTCACACCTTGCACTTCCATCAGGATCAGAAGGCTGCATTCCGTTCACTCACGCAAGCCAAGGAGAGGGCATCTCTGATGGCCTGTGCCCTCTTGTGTCGGGAACAGGCTGGCCTGCTTCTGGTGTCCCAGCATGAGCCCAGACCCCCCCACATGTCGCTCTCCAGCATCTGCAGGTAGCTGGCTTGTGCACCTGTTGAGAGTTTATACTTGTTGTCCTGGGTTACCACCACCTTGGGACTTGGTCTTCCCAATGTCAAGGTTGACATTGCTGCCATTTTCTCCCATGGTACCAGCCGAAGGGCTGAAACTTGGGTGGCCATGTCACATCTCCAGGGCCTAACAGAGACTGCAGAATTGTGTCTTAGCATGCTGTGTGTGGCATGGAACATACAGTCGCATGCTGAGGTGTCTGTGCTCAGAAGCTGGAATCTTCCCTGGAACTTGAATTTCTATCAGCTGCAACTGTGTGTGGCCATGGGCTCCCTGGGACCCATAGGGAGGAACCAGCATTGGGGAGCTGTGGCAGGAGGCTTCTTTATAGGTGTGGATTTTATCCTGTGTTGTCTGTTCATACTATATGCACGGTTCTCATTGAGCTCATCCCTCTACAGCCTGCAGGCCCCTGCTCCCCTCCCCCTTACCTCCATCCCTTCATCCTTCTCCATTTTCCAACCACCATGGCCACTTTGCTGTTCCTTCCACTTGCCACAGCCTGTCCTGCCCCAGGGCCCTTGCACATGCAGTTCCCATGCCTGAACTGATTTCTTCCGTGTCCTTTACTACTCAAATCCTCACACGATCAGCTTGGATATCTTTTCTTCAAGGGAAGCTTTGCCCAACTAGACTCAGGCAGGCTTCCTTTCATGGCACGATGCAGGTGTCAGGATGATGGTTGTAGTTGGTAGTGCATTTTTAGTTTGGCAATTTGAGTCACACCCCAGCTAGACTATGAGTGCTATCAGACCAGGGCCATAGTCGCCAGGCCCCCACCGTCCTACCCCCCCCACCCCGCGGTGGTCACCAACATCCGTCTGAGTGTCACTATTTCCAGGACCCCCACTCCCACCCATGAGCTGGTGTAGTTCATGCTGTGTGCTGTCCCTGAGGTCCAGCCTCTGTCCTAAGGGCAGCTGTGCGCATTGAGTGTCCTTACCCCATCCTCAGGTCACGGGCCCTGTGTGGCACCACACTGAACACTTGTGGATTAGCGTGCAGTCACTGCAGCTAAGCAGAATCTTCTTGAACCTGGCTTCCGGCTCTGAGGAGGATCCACTCACAGGCAGAACGGCAGCAACACAACAGCAATTCAATATCTAACTTTTGGAGCAATAGCCAAATTCTTTCCTGTAGCAGCTCGCTATATCATTCTAAATACCAAGTATGCGTGAGGGTCTCATTTCCCTGCCCCTTTCCCAACATTGAGTATTTTCTGGATTTTTGTTTGTTTTGAGAGTAATGGCCTTTGTGCATGGGAGGCTGCATCTCATTGTAGTTTTGCTTGTTGTTTTTGTGCTGGTACTGGAGCTTGAACTCATGGTGCTCCTGCTTGGCTTTTTTTTTTCCCTCAAGGCTGGTGCTCTACCACTTGAGCCTCAGCTCTACTTCCAGTGTTTTGCTGGTTCATTGGAGATAAGAGTCTCACAGACTTTCCTGCCTGGGCTGGCTTTGAACTGCAATCTTCAGATCTGAGCTTCTGAGTAACTAGGACTACAGGCATGAGCTACCAACACCTGGCTCGTTGTAGTTTTGATTTGTGTTTTTCTGATGATTACTTAGGCTGAGCACCTTCCCTGTGCTTCCCAGTGTGGTGTGTACCAGCTGCAGAGAATTATTGGCTTAAGTCCCTTCTGTGCTCATTTTGAATCGAGTTGTGCTGTGGAGGGGTTTTATTTGCTTTGCTTTTGAAAGGGGATCTTGTTTAACTGCCCACAGTAGTCTTGAGAACCTACGGTTCTCCCACCTCGCCTCTAGGGTAAGCTGGAACTACAAGTGTGTGCCACTGCACCCAGATAAATGGGTCTCTTTCTCTTTTTTTTCAGGGCTGGGATGGAACCAGGGTCTTGTGCATGCCTAGCAATCTTGCAAGTTATTGAGCTACATCTCTAGCCTTTGTTTCTGAATTAAAAGAATTCACTAATATGCTGGGTATCGATTTTTATTCGATATCTGACTTTCATTTTTTTCCTCTATCATCTTACTCTACTTTTGATGCACAGAATATTTTGATTTTTTGTAAAGCCTAGGTGGCCCAGACTTTTTTTTGGTTTGTTTGTTGCTGGTTCTGTTGGGGTCAGAGCTGAGGTCACGAAGCTTCTGTGGGGTCCCGAATGCCACAGCTGAGCTCAGGCTGAGACCAAGTATTGGCCACACACAGCCGCCTGGGTACTTGCACCTCAGCAATCTCCTAGGAGAGGGCCATGTCTCTGTCTATTCACAGCCTTCCTCTCTGACACCTGCAGCCCACACTCACCTGTTGAACACCTGATTGGGGCGCTTGGCCTTACCCGGGGATGGGTCAAAGGTCTGAGAGCATGTGGGGAAGACAGAAATCATGTGGTATTATGGCCTAGCTGGGCTGGAAGGCCTGCTTACTCTGTACACATGCAGCGCAGAGCTGTCTGAACTCAGGCCTCCTGGAAGGAAGCAAGCCCACAGCCCAGGTGTGGGCCGCTCACCCTGCACATAGCCGACTATGGTGAATTGTTAGTTCTTCTTGTGGCTACTCGTGGTGTCCCATGTCTGACACAAGAAAGAGCATGCTCTGGGCTGGGCGCTGGGGCTCTCTCGTTTCTGCCGGCCCTCCCCGGTGCTGTGTGTGCATAGCCCTGGCTTCTCCTGGCAGCTGGTTTCCCACTCCCCAGGCTGAGAAGACAGTCCCCTAAAAGGATTTTATTTTTATTTTAGGGCTGCATGCAGTGGTGCCTCATTAATACTGGTAAGGACAATGGCTGCAGGTTCACAGGACCAGGCATGGCTGTGGATGTCACAGAAACTCACCTGGCTCCCAAGGAGTGCCATGGGGTGAAGGGGCGGTGGTGGGGGTGGTGCTGGAGTTAAGCTTCCAGGCTGTTCCTAAACCCATGAGGGGATACGGGGGCGGGGGGGGGCAGGGGAGGGGAGGGCGCAACAGGTTTCTCAGATGGCGGGCAGGTACACCGCGTTCCACTGGAGGCTGCCTTTTGTTCTCACTGCTGATGGGGAATGAGAACCAGGCTTCTGAGCTGTTTCTACTTTTGTTTTCCTGACTGCAGAATCTTCCCTGGACTCATCTCAAGAGCCCTCAGGACCCCAGCAGAGGCTGAACACACACACACACACACACATACACACACACACACACACCCATGGTTGGTCATGGGTGAGGACTGTCACTCTCCTCAATGGAAATGCTGGCGGCTGGCTCCTAGCCTGGCCCCCCCCATGGGGCACAGAGCCCAGCTGCACGGGGGGGGGGGCTGGGGGGGACCTCATGCCATGGGGTGGGGCAGGCCTGGACTTTGGGGAGCAGCCTCACTGCAGAAGGGCATGGAGGTGGCTCTAAGGGCCCCTGGGCTGCCCCCTCCCCAACAAAGCCAGCCGAGGGGGACAGGAAGAGCCATGAGCTACAGGCCTGCCTTCAGGCACACGCGTGATGACAGCGTGTACATGTGCGTGGGGCTGGTACCTTTCCAAGGGCTTTTAAACGCATTATCTTGTTGGAGGCTCATTTGAGTCAAGGACTAGAAGCCGACTGGAAAACAACTCATTTACCCGGTCCTGAATGGAGAGGAAGCGGAATGCAGCATGTATTTTTGCTGAATCTCAAACCAAAACAACCTTTTGTTAAAGAACAAACAAATAAACAAAAATGCGGAACACTAATTCTCCAGGGAGCACAGTGTGCACCGAGCCTCTGGGAAGAGAAAGTTCAGAGACATTGATTGGGCGGGTGGGGGCTGGGCCTGCCAGGATCCCAGGCCGGTGGCGTGGCCAGCGTGGCCCTGTCCCTGCGGCCCCTTCCTGGCAGTGGTCTAGCCCTGGGCAGTCCCCGCTCAGCCCCTGCTGGGAAGGGCTAGGGAGGGGGCACTCCCGAGCTGGGCCCCAAAGGAGGGTGCATCAGGGGCTGGGGGGGCTGGAGTGGGGTGCTTCTCTTGGGAAGGGGCTGGGGAGAGGTAGTTCTCTGGGGAGGGGCTCCCTGGTTGATGGCACAGTCCTTACTCCGCGTGGGACCTGGGGTGTGCAGCTCGCCTCTGCAGCTCCCACCAGAGCTACTCCACTGCACGTGCAGTTGCTGGTGTGGGGAGGGAAGCTTCGCCGCCTCCACGCGCCCCCTGAGGGCCTCAGGCCGCAGGTGCCGGCCCTCCACCCCACATCTGTCCCATGCAGCCCCTCTGTCAGCCGTCTGAACCCCCAGCAACGAGGACCCAGGGACCCAAAGTACCCAGCGGCCCTGCCAGGGCCCCTCCCCCCACCCCCCACCCGCGGCGGCTCTGGCAGAGCCGGGGAAGCCCTGGTTGCAGCTGGAGCTGGGGGGCAAGCAGGGCCTCTGGCTCACCCCGCAGTGGCCCTGCTGCCGGCCAGGCCTGGAGCCCGCAGCTGGCCCCAGCCCTGAGGCCGCCTTTGTGCCCACACAAGGGAGACTCAGTTCCTCCCTTGGCCCTTGACCCCACATCCTGACTGCACATGGGCGCAGCCCCTGGGGGGAGGGGCGGGTGCCCGGCGGCCTCGAGTGGGCTCCAGAGCCGGGTCTAAAGCGGAGGTGAGGATGTGGGGTGGCTGCGAGCACTGAGGGGTTTCTCGTGCTCTGCAGAGCGGGGTCCCTGCAGGCAGCCGCTCGCGCCCAGCACTGGGCTGGCTGGAGCCACACAGCGCAGGCGCCGGGGAGAGGGTGGGGGCAGGGAGTGACCCCCGAGACGAGAGGCACACCACGGCCACGTCCATCACCAAACCACAGCACACGTCAAGATGGACTCTTTTAATGGTTTCAAATGCATCAGTGCACAGTGAGGCCGGGCGCGCGGTCGCCGGCTGAGGGTTCACACGAGCCTGCGTCTCTTCCAGTCCCTCCCCGCGGCGCCCTCCTGCGCGTCCTCCTCGCAGCCCAGGGGGGACACCAGGTTGAGCAGGGGGTCCTCGGAGGCGCGGCCGAACAGCGCCAGCAGGAGCGCCACGCCGAAGCCCGTGGCCCTCTCACCCTGTGGACAGAGGGCGCAGAGCCTGGGCTGGCGGGCACCGCGGTGTGGAAGACCAGAGCCCGGCCCACGGCTACCGGCCCCGGGACACGGAGGAAGCCCCAGCCTTCCCGGCACCGTCCTGCGCCCTCCGGGCCGACAGCTGGGCGCTGGCAGTGGGGCGTCCCAGATCTCCCAGGGCGGGAGGGGTGCCGCCGAGCACACAGCAGCCACTCTGTTCCCGGAGGTCAGGGGGTCCGCAGCTGGCCGGACAGGAACCCACAACAGAGCGGATGTGTGCGGAGCTCCGCGGGCAGCTTGCAGGGACCGGGCGGGAGGGGACGGGAGATGGGGAGGCGATGGGAGGTGGGGAGGGGACGGGAGGGCAGGACTGGCCAGGCCGGGGTGGGGGCACCACACGGGAAGGTCTGCACTCACGGCGTGCACGGGTGCGGCAATGTCCACGTGCACCCAGACGCCGGGCCAGTCAAAGCCGATGTGGGAGGCGATGAAGAGGCCGGCGCAGGAGCTGGGGCTGTTGTCTCTGTCCTGAGGAGGCCAGGAGTGGTGACCCCTTGCCCCCAGCCAAGTGCTTGCATTGTTCTTTCCCTGCCCACCCCGTCCTGTACCCCCCTCCCGCTCCCCTGTAGTCAGCAAGGCACCCAGGTGGGCCGGGGGATCCCAGGCAGGAGACCCCGCTGGGAGGGAGGCCGCCCAAAAAAAGGGTCTGGAAGGCTGACAGAGCTGAGTGACCCCGTGCCTCTCCACCTATGCCCCTGGTGCCTCAGCCTCCACAGGGCGTCGGCCTGCGGGGCGGCTGTCCCCCCGCCCCCCGCCCACCTCCCCAACCTACCGCCACCGAGTTCTTCATGTCGGCCACGGCGGAGGTGAACTCGCTGAAGTGCAGCTCGGGGCAGTAGACGAGCGGATGCACCAGGTCCCCGCACTGCCGGCCGGCCTTCACGCATGCCGCCTCCCATTCCGCCCTGTTGGTCAGCACGGCCGCGTGGTACTTCCCTGTGGCGATGCTCTGGGCGTCCGCGACCCAGGGGCCAGAGAGACCGAAAGACAAAAGGAGGCAGAGGCAGGCGGGAAGACCGGCCAAGAGTGAGGCAGGGAGGACAGAACAAGAACATCAACAAGAACAGGGAGCATCAACCCCGCGGAGGCTGGGCCCACGCCCAGCCCCAGCTCCCAGCACCCCTTTCACGTGTCCACATCGGGCCTCACCTTCCCCCGTGGAAGCTAGGCTTAGTGACAACAACCTCAAACCCCACCTGCCCCCCCAACCCCAGGCCAGGGGCACTCAAGACCTTAGGGGTATGAGACACCCACCTGAGCCCCCGCAAGCACAGCCCCCACCCGAGCCCCTGCAAGCATGGCAACCACCTGAGCCCCCGTGAGTGTGGCCATGTCCAGGATAATGTCGGCTCCCAGGTCTTTGCAGGCGTAGGACACGCCGTCCGCCAGCACCAGTCTGCCCTCCGCGTCAGTGTTGTTGATTTCCACGGTCCTGGGGGTGGCAGAGACCCCCTGCTGAGAGACACTGCTCCCAGGGTGCTGAGCGGCCCCTAGGCCCCCGTCCTTCTCCGGTACCTCATCCCTACAAGGTGCTGCGGGCAGGGGGCGTGCTAGGCCCTGAGGCTGGCCTGGGGGGTCGGGGGCCTGCCAAGAGGCCAGGGAGGAGACACACAGCCTTACTTTCCCGAGTACAGCAGGTGGATGTCGTCAGGCCGCGTGGAGTGGGGGCCCACTGCATTCTCCGCCAAGCAGAACACGGCGTGGAGGTTGTCCTTGAAGCCCTGAGGAAGGAGCGGGTGGAGTCTCTGGTTAGGCCCTCAGACTCACGGACAGCTGGACAGGGGCCAACAGACAGCCCCAGAGGCAGGCGGCAGAGCTCAGCCCTGGAGCTTTCCTGCCGCCAGCCTGGGCAGCTCTGGCAGCCCTGGCAGGTCCTGGGACAACTAGGCAATGTACCCCAAGTGAGGAGCAGGAAGCTTTGAGGCCTGCTGGGTCCTCAAAGCCCCAGAAGTCACTGTGGATGCACGTCCGTCCCCCTAGCTCTGATCTCTGGCTTTAGCACCTGTGGATTGCTCCCGGCTGTCACTGTTAGACTCTGCGACTAGCCCCACGGTGGCCTAAGCCTATTTTGGATCTGAGGTCTTCGTGGGATGTACTGCTGGCAACCAACTTCTCCCAGGCTGCCGGCTGTCTTTCTGGTTTGGTAACAACGTCCTTGCTGTGCAGAAACATTTTAGTTTGACGCTGTGCTCCCACTTGTCAACTCTGACTCCTATCTGCTGTGCCCCTGGGCTGTTTTTGAAAAGTTTCTGCCTATGCCTAGGAGTTGTAGTGCTTCTCCTAGTCCCTCTTGCAGTCATTTCAAACTTTTGGGCCTGGTGTTGAGGTCTTTGATCCACTTAGAGCTGATATTTGCACATGACAACAAACGGGATCACTTTTAGTTTGCTGCTTATGGACGTCGAGTTTTCCCAGCATCAGTTATCAAAGAGGCTGGCTTTTTTCCACAGTGTATCTTTGGCTCTCTTATCAAATATCAGATAATTTTAAGTATGTGGTTTTATTTCTGGGTCTTCTAGTCTGGTCCATTGATCTGCGGGTCTATTTTTGTGCCAACACCAAGCTGTTTTTGTTATTATAGCTCTGTAGTAGAGCTTGAGATCTGAGATTGTGATTCCACCAGCATTACTTTTTCTTTTTTCTTTTTTTTTGCCTAAAATTGCTTTGGCTATTCCAGGTCTTTTGTTGTTTCCTATGAATTTTTGGGTTATTTTCTCTATCTCAGTAAAGAACTTCATTGGGATTTTGATGGGAACAGCGTTAAATTTTTATGGCAATTTTCACAATACTAAGTCTACCTATCCATGAACATGGAAGGTCTTTCCACTTCCTGATGTCATCTTTGATCTCTTTCTTCAGATTTTCATAGTTTTTGCTATAAAGGTTTTTGCTTCTTTAGTTAGGTTTATTCTTAGATATTTTATATCCAATATAATATCTAGAATATACAAGGAGCTCAAGAAACTAACCCTACTGAAACCTAATAAGCCAATCACTAGATGGGTAAAGGAGCTGAGAGACTTCTCAGAAGAGGTGGTAAGAATGGCAAAGAAACACATGAGGAAATGCTCAACATCCCTGGCCATAAAGGAAATGCAAATCAAAACAACTCAGATTCCATCTCACCTGGTTAGATGAGCCAACATGGCGAATGTTAACAACAAAAAATGTTGGGCGGGGGATGGCTGGGGGGGGGGGAGAAGGAAACCTACTGCACTGTTGGTGGGATGGAAACTAATACAACTATTCTGGACAGCAGTTTGGCGGTTCCTCAAAAAACTAAACATAGGGCTGGGAATGTGGCTTAGTGGTAGAATGCTTGCCTAGCATATATGAGGGCCTGGGTTGGATTCCCCAGCACCCCATACACAGAAAAAGCCGGAAGTGGTGTTGTGGCTCAAGTGGTAGAGAGCTAGCCTTGAGCAAAAAGCTCAGGGACAGCATCCAGGCCCTGAGTTCAAGCCCCAGGACTGGCAAAAACAAAACAAAACAAAAGCTAAGCACAGACCTTCCCTACAACCCAGCCATGCCACTCCTGGGCCTCTACCCAGATCATCACAAGCCAGAATACCATAAAGACACTTGCACATCCATGTTCACTGCTGCACTATTCACAACAACCAGGTTGTGGAAACAACAGATGAGTGGATCCAAACAATGTGGTACCTGTACACAATGGAATTTCACACAGCTGTTAGAAAGAATAATATGTCATCTGAAGAGAAACAAATGGACCTAGAACACATCATGTTAAGTGAAGTAAGGCAAGCTCAGAGAGACAAACAGTGCATGCTTTCTCTCACAGGAAGAAGCTAGATCTAAAATACAGCAGGACATAATAACTTACACAGGTCCCTAGGCATTCACACACAGTGAGACCAAAGGAGAGGAACAGAAAGGCGCAATGCCCATGTGCATCTGATCATACAGAATAATCATTAACCAAATGAACTCAGGGAATGAAAACAAGTGCTTTTTTTTTCTTTTTTGCTGTTTTTGTTTTCTGTCTTTGGGAGTGTACGGGGAGAGACAGACATGGAGAGACAAAGGGTAAACAAATGCAGCAGTGGTACTCACTGGACATCATGTTGAAAATGAGCTATACAACTTGTGGGTGGATGGAAGGAAAAAACTGGGAGAGAAGGAAGGGGTGACATTGTTCAAAAGGAATGTATTCTACCTGACTTATGGAACTATCACATCTCTGGTTTTAGCATTTTCAATTTTAAAAAGGGGAAAAAAAAGAACAACTCTAGCAGAAGGCAGGGAGCTATTAGGGGATCACAAAGGACCCCATGTGCAGAGTAAGGATGAGTCTAGCTGTGCAGACCCACGGAGAGCCAGGCTGGAGCATGAAGGGCAAAGCCCACGGGAGAAGGCCCAGCAGGAGCACCTGTAGTACAGGGCCTCACTCACCTGCTTGATGGCAGCTCTGAAGGCCCCCAGGATGGCTGCTGCACCCCCACAATCACGCTTCATCCCTGCCATGGTGGTCTGCAGTGGGACAAAGACATCCGGAAAGACACTGAAGCACAGGGACACAGAGCTGGCTGACAGCAGCCCATCTGGCCCCAGCCCACACAGCACACTGGGCCCCTGGCTCCCCGGGGCCTGCCAGGCCATGTGAGTGGAACTGGAACTTGTGAGATCACAACTCGTGAGCCCACAGACACAGAGGTGGCCCTTTCATGTCAGCACAGCCACGTAGCCAAGGAAGACCCACAAACCCCCAGCCATGGCCAGCCTCGTACACACACGCGGGCTTCCTTGAGCCCGTGTCCCTGTGGCCTGGAAGTGACTGCGGGTCCTCTCTCTCCACACATGGAGGAGAAGGCAGCAGTGGGACTCACTTGGCATCACCCAGCCTGCACGTGAAGGGTGTTGGCTAGGCTGCCGGTGTCTCCAGAACAACGGGTCCCCAGCCTATGGGTCTCCCATGTTTGCAAGCAAGGTCACCTGACTTCTCTGTGGGTCGTGACAGCTGGGAGGAGAGGCCCATGGGGGCTCCTGCAGCCAAGCACTGTGTGTGGGCAGCCTGCCTCGCATACCCCATTTCTAGCACCAACACTAGGGGTACAGCCACACAGCACCCACTCACGCATGGGCGCGAGCCCCGTGTGTGTGCCCTGGCCTTCTACGCTTCAGGACACCACATATTTTTGCCCATCCTGCCTCAGGCTCAGCGCCGGTGTGAAGTCACTGCTCTGGGCCCCTCCCCCCCCACCCCCAGCCCTCTCCGGACACTTCCCAGGCTCCCATTTGGCCACAATAGTACATCCTGGTCCCCCCTCATGCCACCACCACAGAAAAACACACTGTCTCCCCCTTCCTCATTCCTGTCAGCCTCCGACATGTCACCTGCTGAGAATGGATACTCATGTTTCCGTTTCATAGGTTCCCGACTTTAATTGACAAGTTCATCTATTAAACTGACAGCAGCTTCTCAGACATAATAAGGATTTCAGCTTGGAGTGGACAGAGTGGTTTTTGAACCCTTATTGTAGGACATGAGCCTTCAATTTTAGTGGAAAGTATCTTCAGACACATTAATAATTGAGCCGAATGAAAAGGATTGAGCTAGCAACTACTGAGACCAAGCCATCTCTTTGACCTAATCGGCAAGAAAGCACAGGATTGTTACCCGGGGGAAAATGGAACAATGGGTGTGGCATCCAACCATTTCAAAATGGCCCACACAGAATATGCATGCTCTTATCTCGCCTCCCAAGCGCAGGTGGCCCAATAAGATTTCTCCAACCCCCGAGTGCTGCCTTCCATTGTTGCAAAAGGTTTTCACCGTGACACTAAGCCGTCACCTGCTTTCTCTACTACGCTGACATTTGAATCCATAGCATGGAAGCTGTGACTGGAGAAAGTGGGGGAGGGCTTCACAGTTGAGCTCACGGCCCCAAAGTGAAGAAGGGATCACTAGCTTTTCCTCCTTGGGAAAATAAAGCCATGGCGACACTGCACAGAGCCACCTTGCTGAAGCAGTAAGGCCGACTTTTACAAGCTCAGTCACCATGTGTCGAGTTCTGGTGTAATAGCAAAGAATGTCCAAAGTTAACTTAAAAAATTGGGAGGCCCCAATTTTCTTGGTACATTTCAACTGAAATGACATCAAAACAGACAGATGTAGTGACAGATGCAAGACCTCCACAATCTTCTATTCAGCAGACACTGAGGGAACTGGCAAAAAAACATACACAGTAATGCACATTTCTAACTTGTTTTCATTTTGGAAAGTTATTTCCATAAGATTAGACTCCAAGATAGAGAACAGATTTGTATCATTTTCAAACAAATTATTGCTATCTTTGACGCTTCTCAATTTTAATTGCCAGTTCAGTGGACAGGGATAGAGGTAAACCATAGCTCTTTGGGACTGACACTTTCAAGAGTGTAGAAAGGTATCTGGGCAGCAGAGACTTGCCAGCATGCTCCTCTCCACATGCCACTCTGCAAGTGAAGCCCTGCCCTTGTAAGCTTGGGAGTTTTGCTGGCCTTTTGACGAGTGCCCATTTCCACATCATTGCCTCGAGGTGGCCTCTTGGGTCAGGGCTTGCTGTGTTGGGTTCCGTGCCAGTCTCTGACTGTACGTGCAGGTCCAAACCTACATCAGGTCACTGTTAAAGCCCAGGGGATGCCTGTGGCTCCCCCCAAAGGATGCTAGCCAATTCTGAGTACAGAGATACTTGAGCTGGCTATAAAAAAAAGAAAGAATTGGCTGATGGTGTGGCAACACCAGTCTTCCTGTTTGCACTCTGCAGGCCAATCTCAGCCCAGGAGGCTGAGGGTGACCTGAAGGTTCATGACCCCATCTCAAAGCTGGGCACAACGGTGCATGCCTTCACCCCAGTGACAAAGGGAAACATGAATGGAAAGGACTGCAGCTCAGGCTGCTCAGGAATGAAGTGAGACCCTGTGTTGAAATAAGCAATGCAAAGGGCTAGCCGAGAGGCTCTGACAAGTGAGGCCTTGGATTCAAAAGGAAGGAAAGAAGGGAGGAAGGGAGGGAAGGAGGGATGAAAAAAGGAGGGAAGGAAGAGAGAGAAGAGAGGGAAGGCGGGAGGGAAGGGAAGGAGGGAGGGAGGGAAGGAGAAAAGAAATTCCTCATAGTTTAATTCTTAGACCACCCCATGTCAATGCCACAGGCCAAGATGGAGGCTTACATTGTTTTCCATTAAACATTTAAATGACATTTGAAGTCTTAATACATTGCTGTTTTCTTTAGTGGTGCTGGAATATTTATTTTCAATGTTTCCCCTGTGTGATAATAACTATGGAATTCAATAAGAGAATATTTGCTGTTGGTAGGGTTACTTTCAAACTTGCATTATGAATTTCACTTCCTGATTAGTCCTGGAAATAATTATGTTGTTGGGAAGGGAAGTTAAAACACGATTACCCGTCCCGGTACTGAAGTGCCTCCCTGCTTACAATGTGCAGCACCTACCTTCCATAGGAATTGGTGCTGGGCCTCGCTGTGTGTGTGGGAAAGCCCTGTTGCCTCCACCCCAGCAGATGCTGCCAGCTGAGAGGCTAGGCTGCTGGCAGACCTCCTGAGTGTACAGAAATCCAATGGTGGATGAGACTTCTGCCTGGCTTTCCCAATGCCGTTTGGGCCAGGACACAGGCACTTGCTATGCACAGGCTTGGCTCATCGCCCCCCCCCCCCCCCCCCAGCCCCCGCCACACACACACCCCTGCCACGGCTTCCAGCTTCCCTCCTCCTCACCCTCTTCCTCTGCACTTCCCCGTCTGCCCCCTCCTGGGGGCTTTCCAGAACCAGGAGCGGCGAGAGGAAATGACTTGAGCAGAGGTGGACTGTGAAGGTGGCGGCCGAGGTCAGAAGGCAGTCCTCAGGCCGTGTCCTCCAGGGCAGGGCTCCCTTGGGACACCGCAGTATCCCCTCCCTCGCCGTTTTGGGGTCCTGTTTCCACCATTCAGCACGCTCTCTGGAGCATGCAGGGGGACATGAGCATCGCGCCCCGGCTTTTCAACCTTGTCTCCCTGGGCTCTGCTTTCTATTCCACTCATCCTCTCTGTGGCTTCTCTCTGGGTTGTATCCAGACTCTTCCGTCCCTGACCGGAGGTTTGGAGTGAGGGTTCAGACTGTCTCCCTCAACTGGTGGGCCCTGACTCCCCCTCCCCCCCGCCCGCCCACCCCAGGGGCAACAGCGGACCAGCTGGCCGGGACCCAGCCCCCCAAAGCGTGCCTCACCTTCCCTTTGATGCTGAGGCCCCCGGTGTCATAGACAATGCCCTTGCCCACCCAGGCGATGGTCTGCGTGGCTCCCGCGGGCGTGTGGCTGAGGACGGCGAGGGCCGGGGGCCGGAGGGCGGCTTTGCCCACCCCGTAGATCCCTGCATGGGGAGGGGGGTTGTGAGGCTCGGGTTGCCCTGGCAGAGACCCCCCCGGTCAGCTGCCAGAGAGCTGGACTGCTCCAGCCCAGGTTCCTAGCCCCTCCAGCCCCCAGCCAGTGTGGGAGGGGGGTGCAAACCCGCTCCAACCTCTGGCACTGCGTAAAGCCCCCCCCCCCCCCGAGGCAATGCACATGGCTCAGAATGACGTTTGCACGTGCAAGGCGGGTCCTGCCCTGAGATCAGGAGCACAGGTGCCAGCATGCAGCCTGCCTCCAGCTGACCTGCTCACTCTTGGTGTACTCAGCCCCTCTTCCAGAGAAAGGAAGGGCCTGTTTGAGGGCAGAGGCCACAAGACGCCCCAATCACTGAGCTGAACAATGACAGCAACTGACAGAAAGAATGGCCGCCTGACAAACTCCTATTCATCCTGCAGGACCTGCGGTATATGTCCCCTCCTCTGAGAAACGTTCCCTGGCCTAAGTGAACTCTGCTTGAAGGTGAAGCTGGTTTATACGCCCGAGGCGGATCTGGTCCTAGGATGACTCCGCTGTACTTGAGTCCAGAGCAGTGAGTGCCCCCACTAGTGGGGGTTGGCCTGGGGGCCTCATCCCTAGGGGTCCTACAGAAATGACCAGACCTTCTAAGACGGGGCTGCAGGAAGGACAGGCACTTGCTCACACATTCCTTCTCTCTCTAGACACCTCACAAGGGCATCATGGCCATCCTGCAAGCTGACCCTCCTGCAAACTGACCACCCTGGGAGCTGAAAGCTGGTGACGACCCCAGGACCCCACCCCCATGGCCACAGTGAGGAGAGACCCCAGGCACCAGGCAGCCCAGCGATGGTCTCCCACCCTCCAGTTCTGGGGAAGGTCGGGAGACATGACCGCAACAGTCACCAGAGGAGGTGTCTGAGTGAGTGGAGCCCTGGGCGGCAGCTGCGTCATGGGAGTGCCTGAGCAACGTCTTTCCAGATGGACACAGCCAGGGACAAATGGCCCTCTGTGCTGGCCAGGGAGTGGGCAGGGCAGGGCGCAGGAAGAGCCTGGGTCTGGCGGTTCCCAGAATGGCTGCCCTTGCTTCCCCAGGGGACTGTGTGCTTTCTAGAACCCGGGACCTGGGCTGACGGTTCAAGTCCCAAAGCAGCATGACATGAGACGCTGCCACAAGCCCCCCAGCACGCCCCCCCACGCCTGTGGCCCAGCCCTGAGGGGCCAGCCCCACCCACCTCCAAATCCTCTGGTCTTCAGCTCCTCATCCTGAATGACCATGGGGGTAATTCCCAGCTCCTCTCCAACTTTGCTAATCTCCTGGACATGTTCGTGGAAAAACGACAACAGGAGACGCGTGAGGGAGGCCCGCAGGCCCAGGCCAGCGATGAGCCAAGTGGCAGGAGAGGACCCGGCCTCGTGTGACGAAGCCCAGCCACCTGGTTTTCTGCAGCTCCTGGCTACACTCCTGCCACCAGCCTCCAGGAGCCCCAGCCTCTCCTATTCCCCTCACTGAGGCTGCCAGCCTCTCAGAACGGGGTGGATGGCAGAACCTGAAGCATCCCCAGGGCTCCCAAGCCTTGGGGGGTGTGGATGGGCCCCAGGCTCCTTCTGCCTTGTTTGGGGTGGAGCCCTCCCCTGCCCCGCCACCGGCTTCAAGCTCCCCTGGCACCACGGGCCACCGACCTCCAGGAAGATGTCCGTATTCATCTCATTGCAGGGCGTGTCCACAATGCGGGCGGCCAGCCGCACACCCTCCGTGGCATTGGTTAGGCACTAGAGAAACCAAAAGGCCATCACTGGGCATGGGGACTGGGTGGGAGGTGGGGATCATCCCTTCCTCATCCACTTTTCCAGGGCCCCAAACATAGCAGAGACCGCCCCCCCAAGTTCCTAGAGAGGTTTTGGGGCCACTCACAGGGCATGAGGAGAGCAGGAGGGCTGAGCACCGGTGGCTCATGCCTTTAATCCTAGCTACTTAGGAGGCTGCGATCTGAGGAGCACAGTTCAAAGCCAGCCTGGGCAGGAAAGTCCATGAAACTCTTACCTCCAAAAACTACTAAAAAAAAACCCAAACTCAAAAAACAAAAACCAGAAGTGGCACTGTGGCTCAAGGGGTAGAGTGCTAGCCTGGAGCACAAAGAGGCTCAAGAATAGTGCCCAGGCCCAGAGTTCAAGCCCCAGGACTGGGAGAAAGAAAAAAAGAGGGCAGGAAGGGAGACAGATGCTTTTGGATTTTCTGCAGATCACCGGTAGGTTTTCAGCGGTGCCTTCCTCGTGGGCGGGCCCATGTCACCGGCCCCAGGAGGGCACTGGGCTCTGACTGTCCTGGCTTATCATGGACAGTCCACAGTCCACGCTGGGCATTGCCACAGGGGGCTCACGTGGCACCTGGCACTCAGCCTGGGACAGGTACCTAAGAATGCAGTTCACCAGCTGCGGGCAGTTTCGACCCCCATGCTCGGGAAGATAGCTCAGATTGGGAACCACAGTCTTCTCTAGCCTGGCCTAAGATCCCTGCCTGCCCAATTCTCTTCTCACGGGTCTTTGTTCTTAGCTGATCCCAAGCTCCTCCTGCCCCCCATCAGTCCCCACTGTCCGCCCAGGGCCTCAGAGTCTCCAGACAGCTGGCTGCGTCAGTGCCTTGGCGCTGGCAGGAAGGAGCGGATATTAAGAGCAAAGCGGCGAGGGGCCCACGGGGGCTGGGGCAGCAGCACTGAGTTCATCACCGCCTTTCAGGCCCGTGTCAGGAGGACAGCGGCAGTCGATTCCGCCAGCCCAGCCTCCACCCCCGCTGTCTGGTGATTGCGAGAGCTTCTGCCTGTCCCAGGTAATTAAAGTCTGAAGCCTGCAAGGTAGGGACCTGGGAGCTGACAGCTCGGATAGGACACGTGCCGCCTGTCAGTGCCGGGCCTCAGGAGAGGCAGGCAGAGAGAGCAGACGAGAGGGAGAGCAGAGGCCTCCCTTTCCTCACCACCAGGGGAAGGCCCATCGTTCCTGCTATCCACGTTGATCTGAGAACCTACTACGTACCCGCATCAGGCTAGACTCAGAATCTAAGAAGCCTGAGGGACTGAGGCCAACATAAAACCAACCACAAACCCATCCATGAAAGTGGGGGAACAGGAGGCCTCAGGACTCAGAGTTCTGGCCCCCCATAAAGGCCACATGGGGTATCAGACCCTAAGTGTGCTTGACCAGCTGAAGGACAGTAAAGTCCATTGTGGCTGGGCAGGACCTAGAAAGGCAGACAAGGGCTAGGAGAGGGCAGGGGTGGGAAGCTCTGGGCGTGGGCCTGGGACCTGGTAGAAGGTGGGCTGAGAGCTTAGGAAGAACTCCCAAGGTCCTGGGAGGGGCAGCCAGCGGGGTCTGAGGGCTCTGTGGACTGAGTGGGGAGAGGGGGGCCAGAGAGGCCAAGGGAATGAATGCCAGAGGCCGTAGGGAGGCAGGGGAGAAGGGGGGCCGCCTGGGGCCTGCATAGGCCGGTGGGTGAGTTTCAGGGAGAGAAGAAAGGCAGGCACCCAGACCATCAGAAATGGCAGAAAGGGGTTTGGTGAGTGGGCGGGAAAAGTGAATTAACTAAGCAAAGCAATGAGACAATGTTTGTGATCAAAGTTTGGCAATAAAGAGAAAAAGAGAGCTGATCCAAGATGACACAGATGGAATTGAGTTTCCTCTTCCTCATCTGGTGAAGAACAGACCACGCTGCTGAGCAGGGGCCAATCTGGGGCTGAAGGTGGAAGTAGGCGGGACAGGGGGGATCAGGACTCGATTCTGGGCTAGCCTGCCTGCAAAGGATCCTTCCTAGGCTCAAGTAAAATCACCTGTGTCAAAAAGCACACTGCAGAGAGGGAAGAAATAGGTGGTGGTACTGGTGCTCAATAAACCCTAAGCAGAACAGCATTGAAAAAATAGAGCCCACCCTTCTGGGGAGGGGCCCACTGACTTCTTGGGGCTCCCAGAAGCCCGTCCTGCCTTCCCTGGGGAAGGGAAGGGGAGGGGGGGTACACCCCGTCTGCCTCCCAAATACCCACTTGCAACGTGGACACTTCCACAGGCCCGTTGTCCTGTCCCACTAGGAAGAACTCCACGGTGACTGTCCTCTTCTCCGAGCGACGAGAAGCCCCGGAGCGGTGGGTGAACAGCGGGAAGGCCCGGGCCAGGGCACAGGCTGAGGCGAAGATGTCGGGCTGTTCACAGACCATCTGCAGTGGGGAGAAAGGCAGGGCAGGGCTGAGACCTCGGAAACAGAGGCCTCAGGGGTGGTGGTGGGGAGCTGCCCAACAGCCACATTTCAGCCAGGGAACCAATACCTACTCCACGGGGAATAAAAGCAGAAACGCTGCTCTGGAAAACCCAAGTGACCTGACTCTACAAACCACAACCATGCCCGTCCACTGCCTGGGAGACAGGCCAGCCGGGCCCCGGGAAATCTACACCGGAACCTCCGCTTTGCCACCAAGACGGCTGTGGGGGCCACAGGGAGTGGGGCGGCCGGGCCTGGGGCCTTGGCCAGAGGGCTTGAGCTGCGCGGGCGCTGGGGGGTGGGCACCCCCGGGCCCTCTCCACTCACCAGGATGCAGCGGTGGGTCCCAGGCGGCAGGCAGGTGCGCACCAGCCTGGTGATGAAGTGGGCGGCGGAGGGGCTGTTGTGCCGGCTCACCCTGGGGGGCAGGGCGGCCACCGTGGCGCAGTTCAGATAGAGGGGGCAGCTGTCGGTGGGGTTGGGGTTCAGGGTGGCCAGAGCGGCCTGCCAGAGCTGGAGGGGAGGGAAGCCGGCAGAGGGCGGGTTCAGACGGCCTGCGGCGTCGGGGCGCCCCCTGCGCTCCCCCCCTCCGGCCCGGCTCGGGGCCGCGTGTCTGGCTGGCACCCGTCCACCCCGGCGGGCCCAGGCCCGGGCCGGCCAGCCCTCGGGGATCTCTGCTTCCAACACCGGAAGCGCTGACTCCGGGGCCTCGGCCCGTTCCCACGGAAGCGGGGTCAGGGGTCAGGGCCACGCGGAGAGGCGGGCGGAGGCCTCGGGCCTGGGGCCTCGGGGCGG